TATCAACACAATGGGAGAAAAGAGGCCTTGGAGTTGTTTTTGGATGTTTTGCACCCATAAGCCTCACACCACACAAGCTGCACATACACAGGGTGCTGACTGGACATTAGTGAAGCTGTGGAGACTGCAGAGTACTGCAAGAAAATTGAGTGAGAAAAGTGACTTAGGGGCAGCATAACAAGCTTGAGCTAGGTGTGCTAACCTGGGACAAAAGAATGTGCTTGGAGCAAGTAGTGAGAAAAGAGATATGACAAAGTACATGGTAATTCTGCTAGCATAGAAGGAGATGTAGTCAGTAAGGTTTAAATGCCAACACAATTTAGAAAGGAAAATCAGGATTAAGCAAAAAAAGCAAATGAGTTTCTGTTAATTTTCTTCAGGTAATTGAGCACCTGGTGAGAAGGCAGGGCCAACCCAGAGGAGCTCAGGTGCATGCAATGCAATGCAATACATCTGAGTGACTGGAAGGGATGCAGCCAGGATCCACCCCTTCCCAGACCTCATTTAAGGGCTGGCAGTGGAGGCAAGGGAATCTTGCTGGAATTTCTTGCCTATCTGATGCTTTCTGGAGGTAAGCAGATTTTTTTTCCTTGTGGCTGTTGCATTTGAGCAAATCCTCACTTGCTGCAGCCTAGGATTTTGCTGCTCTGCTGTCATTGCTGGGCTTTCTATCATGTTACAGTTGTCATTAAAACTGTATCTGTGGTTCAGGATAGGGTATGTGAAAATCACAGCTCCAGATAAATTTCTTCTAAGTAGATTGCAATAGGTGGCAGAATTCTCACAGGATTTCAGCTGTTTGGTCACCTATAGCAATCTAGCATAGTTCTGGAAAGCAGAGAAGCTCATTGTGGAAGCTTCTGATCCTAGGCATCTATTGGTTAGACTAATCATAAAAAGTAAACGTGTTCTTATTTCCCACAGAAGGGTTTCCTATGGCGATAGAGAAATACAGAAACATGTAAATGGTTTTGTGATGGTCAGAGGAAATAAACTGGATGTGCTGCAGAGCTGGTTGGAAAGGCACCAGGCCTGATTCTTATTCCCAATAACGCTATGCTTCTCTAAGGTGATACTCAAAATGACCCTTCGATATTTATAAAGATAACTTGATTTCTTCCATAGACACCTCAAGCTTCCTAGAGTACAGGTGTTAATGCATATTTAACCATGCATTCCCAGCAGCTACTTTGCAAAGTAACGTTACTTTCTGCATACTCTTCTGTTCCACATAAGTGGAATTGCTAATTACTCTTACTTGGTTAGATTTATAGTGCTGCTGTGTGCTCTTCTATCACTAGGAGCATTACAAATTAAGTGTATTCCTTTTGATGTTGATTAGTAAGAAATTCAGTGTGAAATGCAGCAGTGCCAGACAACTCTTGCCCTTTTGACCAAGAAAACAAACTAGAGGTGGACCACACAGATGTAACCATCCATATGAGTTTAGTTAGGCCTTAAAATAGGCAATCTACATTATCAGAATCTCCCCAATAGCTGTATTGATTCTTGTCTCCTAGATTCAGATTTCATATTGTTGTTTTTTCACTGAAGTCCTTCCAGTCAGTGTGCAGGCTGTGATAACAAGGGCCGTTCAAGCCTGACTGAAGGGCCTCAGGAATGCCTTGCCAGTTGCTGTGTAACTGCTCCTTCACCATTTGTCAGCTCATATTTTCTGAAGTTCTGTTACTGCATGGGAAACAAGAAAAATTCAGTTTTTCTACTGAAGAGGGAGCCATTGCTCACTCTAAGCGGTGTTACCATGCTGAGTTAAGATTGTGTGTTTGTAGGCACTCTGAAAAAGAACTGCTGTAAGAATCAAAGAAAAAGGCAAGAGGCCTCGATGCAAATAAATAATTCATAAGACAGAATGTGAAGTTTAATAACTGATTTAATAAAACCCACGATAAAGCAACACATTTCTGCTTTTTCTTCAATTAAACAAAAGTGTAGTAAATCATTACAATAAAAAAACTTCAAATACATTACATGTCTACCATACTTCAACTTCTAATTACATCAACTGTAAATCCCAAGTTAATTAAAACCTGCTTGAGTATTAGAATGTGCAAAATACCTGCTGTGGTGGGAGGTTTTTGCTTGTTTTTAGGGAATTTCTAAGAACAGGATGCACGTTTTTCATGAACTCTGATATGGCTTAATCAGTGGTAATGTTTGTATTGAAGCATTAACTTTCCAAGTACAGTGCTCCTTTGTGTCCAAGCTGTATGTACTCCCATGCTGTACTCAAGTGTTCCCATTTCTTGCCAGAACAAATGCAAACATAGTCCGGTGTTACTAATACTGTGTTGTGAGTTTTCACCTCTGCAAATTCATCATGAGGTCCCTGTCTTAATTAAAAGAGAAAACAAGCCAAGACTGTTGCTACCAATTGCAGATATAAATCACCCTGATGAATATGTGAATCCCTATCAAGTTTCAAGGCAATAGCTTAAGTATTCACAGCTGAGTGTCACTATATCCATTACTGGTCCAAAACTTTCCTTTCTGTTCCACATACAGAAATACTTTTGATGTCAGTTGAAGTTTTGCGTGAAGACCAAAGTGCAGAATAAGCAAAAAATACTCAAAGCAAAGTTCTGTCTGTCTGTTGAACACTGCAGGTCATTCTTGTTGCCCTTGGCTTCAGTGCTGTTAATCTCAGCAACAGCCATAAGCCTGGATGTACAGTAGATTGGCAGCAGGTAGAAGGCTTGTTTTATTATCCTGCATACATTCAAAGTACAGGGATTAAGCTATGAGGCAAAGCAATTCAGTTTAGTGGACTTTGAAGCGTCGGGATGAAAAAATCGTTTCAAATTGCTTTGATTCTCAATAAATAAGAGCATACCTTTATGCCTCTGTAGGTTGCTGTGATAGCATTGTCCAGTGTGCATGAGGTCACTGAGCTTGCTTGGATTTCATCTTATTCATAGAGCTCAGCAGTGCTGTTGTACTGGCTGTCCTGGGAGAATACTGCCATCCTGTTCTCACAGCAAAGATGAATAGGTCAAAGATCCAAGAGTGAGGGAACACTAGACCTAAAACTTCTTTTCTCCCCTTGCCTTTTAGTACATTTAAGTATTTTGCACGTCTGTAGACTGGATTTGAGAGTACCTTCATGTCAAGCATAATTTCTATCATTTTATTTTTTTCAACAAAGCAATCATGGAAAATGTTCACAATCATGGAAAATGTTCAGTTACAGCACATGTAATAATTATAATTAGAATGCATGCTAATTAACTGTCCTTCTAATGTGAATCAAATGCTGGTTTAGACATTCAAAATTATTAATAAATTTAATCTTACAACTCAAAAATTTGTAAAATAAATAACCTGCTTCTAAAGTATAAATTCTATTCTAAAATACACTACAGATAACCAATCACTGAGAACACTTTGGGTCCAGTGCTGGGTCTCCAGTTAAACACCAGAAGTTTGGGCAAAGATCTTTCTGTCTGGATCTCTGAACATCCAGATTAAAGCTAAATTTCTGGTCTGATTATGGTAAATCCTGTGTTTTGCAAAGTCTCCAACAAGACAGTTTAGAAAAGAATTCAGCTAGCACTGCATGCATTGTAATTTAAAATACTGTATGAAAATGACTATTGTAAAAATACTGCCTGATGAGTTTGGAGATCATAATGTATGGAACCTGGCATGATCAATAATATTACAGATGTTAATTGAAGTACTGAATACTCGATGCTCCATTTGGAGTGCAGGTACTTATGTGGTACACAAAAAACGATTTCTAACTGTAATTTGTGAGGTATCTGCAGAACCATGTTGCAGTTTGTAAACAATCTGAAAACAACTTTGTCTCAAAACCATAATAAATTTAATAAACCAGCAAGAGGGAGAGAATGAAATACATGTTCTGTAGGGCAACCACTGCACTTCTTGCAGCACCAGTTCTCCCTGCTGCATGTTACATGGTACAAATCCACATATTATTATCATTCACTTTGAATTTATTGCTCTCAGTCTTTGACTACAAGGTAAAGAATAAGGCAGCAGTTCCCAAAACATGAGATTAGGCACTGGAACTCTGACAACTTGCGCAGGTTTTGCTTGTTTCCTGTTTGTAACTCTGAAGCTGGACAGAGCACTTGTACATTCCAAACGTGTTCAGCAGTAGTTGTCTGGCCTTGAACTGAACTTCCTCCCATTTAGATGAGCTACCAGGAACTGGAAAAACCAGGAAAAGATTTCATAATTTTCATAATATTCAATCCTTAATAAAACTGGACAATCCAAATGTCTTTGTATTTAGCACATGGTCTTACCAACTCACATGTCTTTATTCAAGCTCCCTTATTAATTTTCTATTGTTCTGTGGCAATGATACACTATATATACAACTTTATCTTTTATCTGGAACCATATCTAGGTAAAACTGTCTCTATTAAATAGGGGTACAGAGAAAGCTTTCTTTCTAAGAATTGATACACATGATGTTGTATTAGATGTCAATATCAGCATGTTTTGGCAACATGTTCAACTTTCCACAAATCAGATCCTTCCATTAGGGGATTTCTGAAGAGAAGTACTTAACTCTAACAAATAGGGGAAAAAAAAAAAAAAATCCTCTACTGGATCAGTATGTCTCAGCATAAATGTATTTTCTCTCTTTGCCTAAATTTCATTTACACTTTGTCTTTGTGGGTTAATGGTTTCTATATCTCACTGTACAAAATCATAAACAATAGCATTTTTTTCCAGAATGCGATTTCCTGAATGTGAGTACATAAAAAATATAAAGATGAGAGATAAAGCGGTTTGAGTTTTATCATCTGCCCCACCTCTGGCTGGACTGAATCTAAAATTGTCATATAGCAGCTTACCTAATTGCAAGTGGACTATGGCAGTTGTTTTTCCTGCAGTGAGAGACCAAACGTTTAAATCTTCTATAGAATAAACATCTTCAATTTTCATCAAGTCTTCTTTAATACGATCCACATTTAAATGCCTCGGAACTCCTGTGAAACCGAACATAAGATAAAATTAACTGTCTTCCACAAAGTATGTAGTCTTTCAAATCAAATGTCATGATAACTTTCAAACATTAGTAGTTTTATATATTATATATTTCTTGCAAGCCCATTCTCTGGAACTCCTGAGTACTAGTTGGAAAAGCTCTGTAACATGCACTAAGACCACCTCTCATCACTTTAATAACACCATTAATTTAGATATCTTTATAACAGCTGGGATGCAAACAGGTACAACTCAAACATCTGGAATTCAATACCCCATTAGTTTGCCTTATCTATTCAGCTAAATCTCAGCTGTTGCCTTGGAGCTAAATGAAATTTCTTAAGTGTATTTTACCATTTCTTGCCTTCATAGTGAAATTCCATTTTTTTTTTCTTTTCCTAAATGACAAAAGCATTTGGCATTGAAGATTTTGAGATTTTTGGATTGCAGAAGTCAGCAATAATTCATGTGAAACAGACGGGATGGTACAGGTAAAAACAAGGATTTTTTTCTCATCCCTACATGAAAGTACTGGATTAAGCAGTGACATGGGCAGGTTAGTTACAATAATGCAAAGAATGTTGCTGGCATTCTTCCCTTTAAGTTACCACAAGAGGTCAAAAGTTAAGCCTATGAATGTTCTGCTGCTTTTTTTCCTTTGCCTCTTTCCTTTTCATATTGGTTTTTACTTCCAGTCTTATCTGATGTGTAAGCAATACTATGAATTTGTCTCCTCCTTTTACATGTGTTCACATTAACTTTACAAGTAATTAAACAAAGCGTATAGCTGAGACCAGGCAGACCATTTCCTTATTTTAGCTGAAAGTTTTATAAATTCTACTGTCTCGTGATGGTTAACTGTGAGCAGTGCTAAGACCTGTGTCATTCTGGTAAAGGTCAAAGACTCTTGAAGACTGCTGCAACTTAGATGAGCCAGCAAGAATTGAAATCCTAAAGCAAGATCAACAAATTCCAGACACAGCCCACATTGCTGGAGATGGTGGTTGTGACATCCAAGTGCCAGTGCTTCATTTGACATATAGAATCACAGAATGGCCTGGGTTGAAAAGAACCACAATGATCATCTAGTTTCAACCCCCTGCTATGTGCAAGGTTGCCAACCACCAGACCAGGCTGCCCAGAGCCACATCCAGCCTGGCCTTGAAACACATGAAACACTGCACGCTGTGAGGATCTTACCTTCCAAAATTATAACTCCTGTATCACACAGAATTCGGACTGTTGTGAAAACCACCAGTATGGAAAACACGTATGTACAAATAGGATCAGCAATCTTGTATTCTGGCTGGAAAGGAAGGTTCCAAAGTGTTAAAAAGATACATGAAAATAAGTTCATTTCTAAAAATGTAACTCAGAAATACAGTTACTTAGAGCTACAACTTCTGTGAATATTTCTTTGAGTAATTACATAACACATAAGTCTCTGCTTATTTTGCATGACTATATGGAGATATAGTAGAACATAAAGTGTATCATTTTCATTGCTTAGAAAAATAAGTCCATTTTAATAACTACAGCTGAAACAAAAATCACACCTCGCTTCAAAGATTAGCCATTCCTTACCTTGAAACGTATGATGTATGCAGCTACAAGCACACCAATGCTTTGTACCAGGTCCCCAAGGGCATGCACAAATGCTGCTCTCACTGCAAGGCTGCTGTGTCCATGGCCACTGCTGCGGGCTGTGCTAGGAGAGTTTGACTGAGGTACATGGGAGTGAGGATGGGAGTGGGAATGAAGGTGTCCAGATTGATTCAGCAAAAAACCCATTCTGAAATTGGAAAAAGAAAAATGCTCCAAGAAACAGGCTAGAGATTTGAATGGGTGTTTTTTGTGATTGTTGTTTAATTTCTTCAGAACAAAACAAAAAAAAAAGGAGGTATCATTTCCTGTCTTATTTTGCTGGACCTCTTCCTTTCAAAATGACATCCCATGAGAAAGTTACAGGCCATTAATGAATTAACAGCTTATTCAAAATATACTTGAGTGTCAATGGAGAGAAAGGGAGATCTTACATTAAGTTAACTGCAACACCAACAGCTGCTGTGATCAGCATGATATCGCCATTTATTTCATAGTCCATATGGATGGTTCTTTGAACAGCTTCATACAACAGGAATGCCATAAGGATATAGACCAGCAACACACTGATGATGGCTGACAATACTTCTGCAAACAGAAAGGAAAGAACATCATAAAAGTGAGTCTCGAGTGTACTTCTATTTGTACTATGCACAGACTTTCATGTGTCCTACAGTGCTAATGAACAGCTAGTAAACCATAAGTAACATTCACAAATAAGATTAATCATAGAACCACAGTATTAAGCTAGATTTAAAGATGACACACATCCTTTTGTGTTCACTGTCACTTACCAGATGGATCACTGGGATCTTAACCTTCCTCTGTGAATTCAAAGATCAGGGTTGGAATTTATTTGCACTGAATTCTAACTGTTGTTCTCCCCTCTGGTCCTACTCACTTTGCCCTGATACATTCCCCAGGAATCAGCTATTAGTCAGCCCATAGTAGAAAGAATATTGATTGAAGAACTTTATTCATCGAATAAAGGCATTATTACCAATACTGAACATGCATTTCACAGCATCAGAATGATTTGATCCACAGACTGAATTGGTGATATCATTGTGGGAGAAGAAACTCGCACCAGTGCAGTCAGCTGCTCAGCAGTGTGTCAGTGCCTGGATGAGTACCAGCATTACCAGGCAGTAACAAGGCTTTGAAAGGCAACTATCATAATCCCTGATTTCAGAGCAATGTGGAATCCTGGAAACATCCACACAAGTGGAAGCTTTCTTTACAAAGCAGGCACGTTATTCAGGGCAACAGCCATCATTTATGTATTTTAAGGCATTTCTTTGCAGAACATTTGTTGTTGGTTGAATTTGTTAAACTGTAGTACACTGGTATTTACCAGAGAAATAACATACTGTAGTTTTATAACCTAAAGCAGATTTTCTGCAGTGGAAGCCAGTGTGTTCTTTGCAGTAGCTTTCACAGAGTCATTATCACTTTGATATAGATTTGTGCTAAGATCTTTCACTTGTGAAATGAAGTATGCACTGTACCAATGGTCTGATGGATCTGTCATTACTGATGCTGTCTCTGCAGCAGTGGAAAGATGCCAAGTTCCATATCTGTGTTTAGATCTGCTCAGTGTCTTTCTGAGAAGGAGGTAACTCCACTTGGTGAAACAGAGCTATTTTTGGCTTTAGGAATATAATTCTTTTCAGATAAGACTGCAATTTTCATTTTTTTCATCTTCACTTCTCTAGCTCATTCCTGGATCTGTCAGCTCCCCTTTCACCATAGAAAATAGAAGAAACTAAAGATGGAGCATACGTATTATATATTCAGAAAGATAAAAAGCAGTGCTTTCTGCTGGAATTTGAATAGGCAACCAATAGGCCTGCTGTCTTTACAAAGCAGCATTTATGGTACTACTATGACAGTTCATGGTTCTGCAAACAAAAGTGAAAAGGAGCACTGGAAACTATTTACTGGCACATTTTAGTGCTTAGTGCATGTACGGATTACCTTAAAATGCAATGCAAAGCAGACTGGTTATGAGGCAGTTCTAGTGCATACTCCCAGCTTTAAGCAGATGCATGTTGTTTTCTGTGACAGATGCTCTGTCAGTATCCTATTTTTAACATGCTGTCATGTTTTACCACCTCGTGAAATTCGGGCTATTGATGAGCTCACATTTTGTTGACAAGCTTCTTACTGTACATGATATTTGGAAAAATGTATTACAGCAAACATGTAGCCCAGACTCAGCACTGTTCTACTGCCAGTGTTCACTGATGTGTGAAACTGCGCGCTCAGGCCACAACGTTCAGAAAGGGTGCCTAAAATCATGCAAATAAGCTTCTCAAAAATCCACCCATGTACATCATTTTTCAACCATCCCATCATCAGTATTCACAGGGCCCAGACCAATGTTTTGAGGGTTTCTTGCTGAATCCTTATCAACCTCTCCTTCCTCACTGCAGCCACAGAAGCTCTCTTCCCACTCTCACAGGCTCTAGTCCTTTTCTTCCTACACAGATCATTATGCTAATGCACTGTGTTGCTGCTAACACAGAAGGATGAGCAGAAAGGGGCCTCCGGTCTAGTCGAGTGCCCTGCCCAAAGCAGGACCAAGAGAGCAGGCTGCTCCAGGCTGTTGGGTCTGGGTAATCGGCTGGTGCTTGACAACCTCCTGTCACTGGGCAGCAGAAAAAGAGGAGGAATTGCTGCAGAAGTGAGAAGTCACTCCCTCTATTCTCCAGGGAGAAAATGATGGGTGATATAGATACAGGCCACCACTGGATCAATCTGGTCAGTACTTTCTTTGGCAATAAAATGAAGAAAAAAGTTGGGGATTTTTTTGCTGGTTTGTTTTTAAAGTGAGGTGGCAGAAATCCAAAGGGACTCCTGTTTGCAGAGTGCTATGGAGATCCTGAATTAGTAAGTGAAAATTTATAAAACTGAGTAATATATGATCAAACTTTTTTTTTTTTCCTTAAGAACCATTTCTGTTATAAGGCTATGTCATGTTCTTTCTTTATACTATTTGGTTTTTGAAGAGTTACAAATACATAAACTGCTCGGACTATTTTTAAATGAGGTTAAAGTATGTCTACATGCTAGCAAACATCCTTGTGGAAAGCATGAACAAATGCCAGGGGCATACCTGCAAGGTCAGGTTTCAGTATTAGAGGGAACTCTCAACACAAAATTAAAACTTCTTGAAAGAAAAGTTTGTAATAGGAAATGCTGGCACTGTTAATGCTTTCTTGCTAAAGCCCAAAGATCTTTGCTGGTGTACAGTTATGCATTCATGCATTAGTGACTAACTGATGACAAATGACTAGGAGTGATGGAGTTGTTGAATTCTACTGCTGTTCTGGCAGCCATCATAAGAATTAACAGTAATGGCAGCACAAGAGTTTGAAATTCCTTGAAAAAATACCATACAGAAAGCATAAAGGTAGCAAGCCATAACATCCAAAATGATCCATTTCATGCAGCGTACATTCAAACTTTTGGAAAAATGACTGCAAGTCAAGACCTTCACCTGTATATTGTAAATTAATTAATTAATATCCAGTACAGATGGCAACCATGTGAAAGCACCCTTTATCATCATTAAGCTTCTAAATGTGAAGTAATGAGTCCTGAAATTACCCTTCCAACATTTAGTACATATTTCTGCTGACGTTTCTTTTTACAAATACCCAAAATGGGCACAAGTTAAGTAATTTTCTGTACTGGACATGAAGGGACATCTTGATTTCTTCTTTCTGCAAGAAGCATAGTGATTTATGAGACTTCTTGCAGAGCTATCTGATCCTGCACTCTATGGAACTTTTTACTTCTGGGAGTTAGCTCAGGATTATTCATTAATCACGTTTCATTGGACTTTGTTTCCAGATGTAGCATTTGTACTGTTCTGTTCAAATGATTTATTCCCCTGTGGCAATACATCCCATGTAGTGGATACACAACAGACTGTGAAACCTAAAGTTACTTTTAGGTTTGTTACTGATTTCTTTCCAGTTACCTCTTCTTCTAGAATTACATATTTTTAGCATTATTGCTTAAAATACTAGCAAAAGCTGATATCTACATACCTAGGCGATGAAATCCGAAAGTGAACCTCTTTGTAGGAGACTTTGCAGACAGCCAGAGAGCAAGTAGGGTCAAAATAATACCACTAAGGTCAGTTAACATGTGCAGTGCATCTGTCATAATTGCTAGACTGTTAGCAACATATCCACCTGAAAACAAAGTTGGAACAGTCAAGAGAGATAAGTGATTCTGGATCCTATCCTCATGGCACAACTTTATTTATTTTCAGAACACTGCACTAAGTGCATGAGAGTACCACTTATCACTGAGCAGGACTATCTTTTTGCCATTATAATCAACATGCCATGCTATAATTTAAGGTTACCATAGTTAGAAATGCAGTGAAGCGTGCTTTCCATGAGAGTAGCATAGAAAGGAGTTAGTCCTGTTATTCTCACTGAGACTTCTTGCTTGATAACATTTGCAAACTAGTTTAGTATTTTTTCTGTGTATGTTATTGTATATCTTTAATTGGCTGATGCTTTTTATTTGAACTACAGTTGTTAAATATTTTCACATAATGGAACAAGGACAGAAATCCAGTGACTTGATGGCAGTAATTAACCCCACCCTCTTCTTATTTTTACTGCATTATCTTTTTACCTTCATCATTCCCTGTCCTGGCAGAGGTGTATAAATTCTGCTAACGTATGTTGTCGACAATAACTTTCAAAGCATTTTCCTTTCTTATTTACTACCATATTTTTTTTCATTATTATGAGCTGTATGGAGAGAAACAACATCAGATTGAAGGTCAATATCTTTGTTCCAATTCGACTGCTAAATGCTACCAGTAGATAGATGGCTGAGAGAGACTTAAACAAAGCACCTCTCTCTCAGACAACCCTTATCCAAATGGGGAGTCAAGGACAGGCAGTGTTGTCTTCCATCTGCATGAAGATAACCCCATTTTCTCAGAAAAGATTACATCTTCAGTGTCAGCTCAGCTATTATTTCTTTTCTCATTTTACCTTGAGATCATTCTAACTGTAGACTTCAGGCTCCAGCCAACATATCTTGAGTAAAGGTATCTTTGTAACAATTAAAAGCCTCTTAGTGAAGAAGCTGACCATGAGGAAGGAGCTAAGGGAAATTCACAACAGGCTGACTGCTTTCAAGATCAGTGAAAAACATGCGTGCATCCAGCTATCTGTGAGTGCCCCATCTGCAGAGCTACGCCCTTCCTCCCAGCCACACACAAACAGCAGGGCTGACACTGCAGGGGTTGCTTGTGCCTCTAACTACTGACTGCACTTCTGTTCCACCTGTTCCTGTCCCCCAACCCCTTTATTTAGATGCCTGTAAGTCTCAGAGTGAAATTTTTAGAGGTTGAAATTCTCTACAGGCCATCACAGCCCAAAGCTAATTTGCTTTCTCACATAATTTCAGAAAATACACTCTAGGAATGTGCAACTCAGCCTGTTTTATTGTCAGCACAGAAGAAAACAATTTATGTCTAAGGACATTCACTTCAACGCTTTCTGTATATGATCATTTACAGCACATATGTTAATCCATGAGTATGAAATTGAGAAGTGCTTCAGCCCAAGATAAGCCAACTCCATTTCAGTTAGTCTCTCCAGAGATTACATAAACAGAGAATTCAGATATTAAAAGTAGTCTTAATGGAGCATGTGGATTGAGAAAATATCATTGAGATGAATGCAATTCTGAATTTGAAGGCCCTCTGTTTCCAACTATATTGGTTCACTGCTTGGTGAAGCACTGCCCAGGGGCTGCTATAACACAGTCAGCAATTTGAGGGGGAGAAAACAGGAAAACAGACATCTACGACCTTTATGAATTGAAGCCCTGAAAGCTCACCACTGTTTTCACCAACCTGTGAAGGACAGCAGTCCTCCTTGTGAATGATCAATTAGAAATCTCTGAACATAACTGAATGCATCAAAAAGCTGTCAAGAAAGGTGACTGGATTTGTGTTGTTTTCTGTTTCTTCATGCAAAACGGTTCCCAAAAAGTGATCTGACTTCTACAGTGACTGTTCATCAAATTAAGCAACCAACACTGGTGTGGGCTGGATTCATGAGCTTGGAAAAAAACATATGCTAATTGAGATTTCACAAAGCAGCTGCTGGAACACAATTTCCTACATCTTCACACTAGTACCAGACAGCAGAAAGTTTTCTACCAAACAAACAAATTTCTGACAGGCTCTTCTGCCTTTCCTGCAGAAATTCAAATCTGGCAAAGATAACAGGAAGAGGTCTGTTAATGTCCCACATAGCCAAAGTCTCCCAAATACTTTGGCTATATGTTTGTTCAAAAAGTGCCAACATTTCAAACCAAATGGGTCAGAACTCAACCCTGGGCCAGAATGAAATACATAGAACAGGTAGTGTGCTGACCCAGGGCTTGCAGGCTTCTTCACTTATTCTGCTGCTGATTGCCTGCCCTATGACAAGGTATTCACGTCAAGACCCACAAAAGTGCACAGATACCCAAGTCCTACTTGTTCTCTCTGGAAGTTGGATGTCTGAATATTTTATGGGTCTGGGCCTCAGCACTGTCTGCCGCAGTGCCCAAATACTGCACCAGTACTGGTAACCGCATACAGGAACCTGAGAATGATGAGTCCACACTACAGCAGCAACGCTTCATAAGGAGAAATCAGTCACTCTGATCTGAGCCTGCAGAAACCCTGGTTGTAAGGGAGAAACAGTGGATAAAGTGAAAGTGATGAGAGTATTTTTCCTCTCAACACCTATTATTTCTGGAGCTGACCAGGCACTAGATATGGATATCTACACAGTGTGAAAACACACTCTGACTTCAGCATCAAGCTGCCAACAGCTTGGGAACATTACTCAGCACCGTGCCCTTCGGATGGACTAAATTCAGTGTGCATCAGAACACCAACATGAGTACAATTAAAGGAAGTCACGCTTACCACAACGATGTCCACAGCTGAGAAGCAACACTACACTAACACTAATCCCTATCAGATTTACCTGAGTTCACACTGCACCAAAATCTCAGCCAGAGGAAAAAAAACCAGAGGGCAAATGAAGGCATTCAACCAGATCCCTGCAAGCCTGAAGCCGAGTGCTGATCTGTGATGAGCTGATGCATTGTGGCAGTGTTACTAATGACTAACCACACACTGAAAGCGAGGTGTTGAGAGACAAAGCCACTGTTTTCTCTTAACCCACATTCCTGAAAGAAGGCCCAAACAAAACTACGGTGCAGATGCAGTCAATTATCTGCTCTCTCTCTGAAAAAAATGACCATTTCTCATACCACTTTTTATTTTGTTCTATGAATGGGGGATGAACGGTATCATTCTGTGGTACAGTATCTGAGGCATCTTTCCTTTAAAGTTATTTACTTCTGTTTTTTTGGCTGGTGAATTACAGCCACTAAATTCACTAAATTTTCTATTATTTGGACCTGTGTGTTAAAATGTGAGCCATTTAAATGAAATTAGTTGTCAATCGTTGTCTGCTGCTAAAAAGATTGGGCTCAAGTTAACAGACTGTCCAATGACTGATGGGTGCAGTGCATCCATGTGCAGGCACTGTGCATTGCTCCCTGCTGCTTCAAACCAGCCCAAGTGAAGGAGTTTCAGCATCCTGCAGGTGGCTGAGCAGCCCCAAGTGCTTACACTGAACATCATGGGCACATCCAAAACCAGGTGGTAACAGGGCACTGATACTGCATTGGTAAGTGACCAAAGATAAATAGCAACGGGCAGATAATGGCAAAGGCATTACATTTAATAGCTTAGTTACACATCCAGAAACTTCCAACTTTAGATTTTATGTCAAGCCCTGTCACTGTAGCCACTAAATACAGTCATGTTTTGTACAGACTGCTGTATTACACACAGGTTTTACTCAACTTTAATAGCAAATGACAGCATGCCTTTATGAGAGAGTAAAAAAAGCTCAACTTGAGCACCAGACTCATTCTTCTAGGTAAAACCAGCAGATCTTTTCCAAGTACTAACGAACAAAAACCACAAAGAACATGATTTAACCAAGGAACTTGCACTGTGCACTGCCATACTAGAAAGTGTTAAAACGCTGTTTTAACTTTGATCATATGCTTTATGTGTGGTTGGAGCATGCACTGGTCCAGAGCACCATGGGACATCAGGAAGTTGTCAAGAGAGCGCTGTGCACTGCACTGTCGGGCAGGTTGTCTTCTTGGGTGCAAAAAACAGAGCCTATCTCTGGATCTGACAGCTAAAGATAAATCCCAAAATTGGTTTTGTCGTTATGTCAGTGTCACCCTTGGAAACTCTATTTGCCCGCTGTCCTTGCAAACACAGCAAGATTTTATGGCAATAATTAAAAAACACTGGAGGTGAAATTACCCGTCCTTCATGCATACCCGTGTGACAGCACGCAGTCCTCCCTTGCCAATCACACCTCAGAAACTTATAGAACAGGAGCAATACAAAGCTGCGAGCCAACAAAATGCCCACTTTGTGCCATTCCGGGGAGGCGATGAGCTTCAGGTAAGGAAGCCCAAGTTCCCCTTTCTTTCCTCGCACGGAAAGCACGGCTGGACTTCGCTCCGCTCCCCCCGGGGCTTATCGCTAATCGCTCCGACCTGCAAACGGCTCCCTGCGCAAACACGAAAAACCGAGGCCGGAGCAGCACCTACTCACCTACGAGCTCCCCCGTCATGAAGAGCAGATAGAGGGCGGCGGCGGCCGTCAGCCGCTTCTTGACGCGCCGCAGCTTGCACAGCTCCCTCCGGCTGCGGCAGCGGCCGCAGGGCTCGGGCCCGCCGCGCAGCGCGATGTCCCGCTCGGCCACGGACTCGTCGTCGGACGGCGGCGCGGGGTGCAGCCCGTTGGCCGGAGCCTCGGGGGCCGCCTCCGCCGCGTCGTCCGCCACCACCACCCGCAGCTTGTTGAAGCGGGGGAAGTCCTCGTCCCCCGCCTCGTCCGAGAAGTCGAAGGCACTGGAGTCGTTCAGGAACAGGGGCGGCTCGCTCCTCCGCAGCGCGGACTTGATGCTGCTCCACAGCCCGGGCCCGGCCATAGCGGCGGCGGCGGGCACCCCGCGGCGAGCGGCCGACGCTGGCGCGGCGCTCCGCGTCCCTCAGGGCATGGCCCCCGCCCCGCGCCGCCGGGCCCTGCCGCGGCCCGCCCGGGGACGCGGCGGCTCGCGGCTTCCCCTGCCGGTCG